TTACCTGGTGCCCTTATTTTCCAGTGACTCTTGCCCTATAGCCTCTTAAGAAACTTCTGACAGGAACCAGAGGGTCAGCTATTGGTCAATGAGATTTTTTTTTTCTTACTATTTATTTGAGGAGATATCAATCCCATTAAGCCAAAGAAATGCCTTTCTTTACAATCAGCTTCTCACTCTGAGTGGTCCAACATATATTTTTCTCATAGGTGCTTTCAAAATGCTGTTCTCTCTCATAAGTACTAGGTCAGAATGTTGTTCTTCTGCCACACAATTGGTCATAATATCTCATATATATAACTTTTAAAGATTATTGTTTAAAAATAATAAAAATCACACAAAGTTGGCATTTTATCATGAGACCAAGTATATTTATGAAAACAGGACAAAGATTAAAGCCTATATAGTTCATTCATTCTCAGAAAGCCCTCTATTGTCATTCAGAGAATGGTTCTAGAAGGCAGCCTCTTTGAGAATCTTATCTTGATGGTCCAGCTTTTGTGGTTTCTTTTTTTAACAGGAGCTGCAATGGAAAGGAGGACGCGAATAAAGTCTGCCTGGTCTAGGAGCCTGAACTGTGCTTTAGTCTCTGAAAGAACAGGGAGAAAGAGTTAGATCGGGGCCTGGTCCCATGGAAGTAGCCGCTGCTGCTCTGCTCCAGGAAAGGTAAGAATGAGCCCCTGTGAGGGGGTGGAGGATGTTTGTTGAGAGCATTGGAATAGAGAGGGCAAAAACCTAGATCTGGACAATAGTCCGCTGTGAAATATTTCAAAATCCAAAGGTGGGCAATATCTTCTATTGAGGTTTATGATAAATTCTGGAATGAGAATGCCTAGAAAATAAGAAGGGGGTGGGGATGAAGACCCAAACACACCACACGCTCTCACAAAGATGTGTAGGCAGCACATTAAATTACAGTTGGCGTGAACAGGGCTTGAGAGCATGCTCGAAGGCAGGGAACTGGGGTTAAGTATGACTAACTACCTTTTAAGAAAACCAAGAGTCTAGGCAAGTAGTTTGTAAGCTTTTTGACGTCATAGATAAGTCACATTAAAAAAAATTAATTTGGGAGTTGATTCTAGTAGCCTTCTTTTTCTTTCAAATAACAATAGACTTATTTGACTAAAATGTATTATTACCATTGTTTTATTTTTTTTCCACTAGGAAAAAAAATAGAAAAACACAGTCTGACTTTTACATACACAGTCCAACATTTATGTACAATTCTTGAAATGGAATGCATTCAGCTTTACGAAAAACTCCAGACATTGTCCTAATTTTTCTCATTTTGCCAGGGTCACGTTGTCACTAACCAACTGGTTCAGATTAGAAAAATCTCCTAAGCATATCCACTATAGTATTATTGATTATCTTCAGAGAAATTCATGTTTGTCTTATTAGTTGCCTTACAATATACAAATATCTCAGTCAGACAGACAACATTATTTATTGAATTTCTAGCAACAAAAGACCTGAGCTCTGCCCTTGACTTACTTAAAAGCTAGTGAATACAACATGTCCTGATCATTGACAGATAATATTTACTAAGAAATGTTTACAGATACAGTACAAAGAGAGTAGTTTAGTACTGAGAACATGTGGAGGGAGTAACCAGAAAAGCGGGGTGTTAACCAGAAAATATTCTGGCTCCTTTTTTAGGAAAGAGGAAACTGAAGCAAAGAGGTGAGAGAATATCAAGGTAAAAATAAGCGCTGACTCTGCCTGCCTTTGGGATCAAATGCCTGTTGTTATTGGACTACCGTCTCGGTGTGGTTTGCTTAAATTTTCAGGAGAGGCTGATGGGTGAACTTATCTGCTGGGGCTGACAGGAATGTGTGTCAGCCCCCCTTGTCCAATTAGCTGTGGCTTGAGGCAGCAGTCAGGACCATGAAGGACACATACGGATGACCATGCCCACCTCTTCAGCAAATGCTTTTGAGTTCCCACCAAAAGAGAATTCTTGATTTGCTGAGAAGGTCGTGTGGGCTGAATAGCCATGCTCAGATCTATCTGCCATTCTTAATAAGTTTGATCTTTATATACTTGTCCACAGCTCCATGTTTCAGGCGAGAATAAAAGGGCTGGTTGGTCTTAAATGTGTAAGAGTCTATGATGCAGTAACTTTTCTGAGCACAAGAAGAATTTTAAAAAAAAAAGCGTTCTAAAATTTTTTGATTTTTTGGCGAAGCTGATCACTTTTCTCCTAATAGCCAGTATTTTAAGCTGAGAATATATCTATTTCCCCCATTTTCTCAATCATTTGAATTCTGTTAACTTTGTGAGATAACTAAAGACAAAGCATGAAAAAAAACTGCTGCGATCATCCAAAGAGCTCATAAAAGATTATTTGTGGACCCTCCAAAAATGAGGCTATATAGGAAAATAAGCAGGAATAAGGACCAAAATATGGTAAATTGGATATATTAATTAGAACCCTTGGTTGCATGGACAAAAAACAAAGAAAATTGACTGAAGCAAACAGCAGAATGTATTATAGGTATACTGGACATCTCATCAAAACCAAAGATGTGAATCAGGAACAGTCAGCATCTAGGGTCTGAACACAATCAGGGTCCTCTGATCCTCTGGGTGCTCTGTCATCTGGTCAGAAGTCCACTTCTGTACTAACCAAGATGGCCCCCTGAGTCGTTGTAGTAACACGGCTGCTATCAGAGGACTATACGTATGCACTGTTTTTAGAAGCAGTAAAAAGGATATTAAACAAAGGAGAGAGGTCCACCTTTTGAAAATATAGCGAAGAAGCAAGACAGCGAGAGAAAATGACTTATCACAACTCTTGAATATTTAGAAATAATCAAGATCAGTTTCAAGGGTCAGGAACCTCTCCCATTCTGAGGAAAAATTCCTTCTTTCAAGGACATCATTTGAAAGATGTATCAACAAATGGCAACCTGTAAAACAGTTGGTCTATGTGCGAAGCTTAATTGCTGAAATTCATTGTACACTAATCATATACTATGTACTCTTCTCGATTCTGGGATATGGACAGGGAGTTGCAAAGAAGAGTAGGCACCTCCCTCAAGGAGTTTCCCCCTTAGCAAGCTGTAGACAGTAAAGCAAGCTATAGTGACTATCAACCTAACATAAGGATCGATCATTTGTTAGAAAGCAAATTCTGAACTTATATTCCATCATTTTCTCTTAAAAAGAATTTGTGGTCTTTAAAAAAAAAATGTGCTCTATAGAGTGCATCGCTACAATTCATGGTCTGAACTAAATTTGCAGGCTGCCAGAAGATGTCCTCAACCATACCCTGCATATTGACCACACTGACGGGTCACTTGGTTTCAGCTGAAGATTTTCTATTGGTATTTTTTACTGTGTCTCTCTCTGCTTCTCACTTGCCTTTTGGGGAAGGACTAGTGAAGAAAGGGGAAGGTAGGTTAGTTTTCATAAGTGATGTAAGCATACCTTAATTTATTATTATTATTGTTATTATTACAATTATTTCCAAGCCTGGTTTTTCAAAGTCTGGGAGGCTGAAGGGGAAAAAGAGGGTTAGTGAGCGGGGAGGTTGGAGGCAGGGTACCAGCAGGTGGCGCTTGTCTCCTCCGAGGAGACGAGAATGTTTGATTCAGCCTAGAGCGCTGCAGGAACGAAGGGCGACCAAACACGCATTCAGTGCAAGTGACATCCATCATGCCGTATTTTAGCGACGACTCCGTGAAGTCACAAGTTCCAGCCTGTTGCCCAGGCCATCACCTTTCTTCATGGCCACTTAAAAAACTGGTTCCCCTAGTGCAAGGGTTGTATTATTTTCGTATTTGACCCGCATCCCATTTCCTCTGGTCAAGTCGCTTACAGTAACGATCAGCCTCGGGTATAGAGCAAAAATAAAGGCCCTAAAGAGTTGGAGCTGAAACTTCGGAAAGGGGTGGGATTTTCTCAGTCTTCCAGCTGATCTCCCCTTATGGCATCAGATATTCTGTCACTTGTGGTGTGCCAGCCTTGGTCTGGGCAGAATGTGAATTCGCTTGCAAGGGAACACTTCAGTTCCCATGGCCCACAGGGGCAAGGAGAAGCTGGAGGAGGTCACTTTGACTGTACTTGTGGGCAGGCTCAAACTGTGACTGAGTTATTGGCTAGTTGGGGTCACTGGCTTTCTAACCTCTCCCCGCACCGCCCAATTCCGGGGCTCAGTCAGCCATCGCCAGCCCCTCTCCCTCATAGGACAATGGATTCTGTCTGCCAGAAAAACTACGTTCGTTTTGATAGTCCTTCCTGCGTCTGAAGCTTTCTACTGTCGCTCAGAAAACCTTCTGCCCTACTCCTATCTGTGAGTCCGCGCTGGGGCCGGGCCCGGGAGTGTACAGGAAGGAGGGCAACCCTGGAGTCTGAGGGCCACAAGTTAGCATCCAGCTCCGCCTCTGATTGCATGTGTGACCTTAGACTAGTTTCTTAACTTCCTCAGTAGACTGGGGAAACTATTTTTCCCCAAACAGGGTTCGTGGATTAATAGATAATTAATGCAGACTACCTAGACCAGTGTCTGGCTCATTGTAGGCGCCCAAATGCCAGGGGTCATCTGTCGGCCTGACCCCACAGTGAAAAATTGCCTCTTGGGGAACTCTGGGTCAAAGAGCCAGAATAATTCGCAGAGTTGAGATAACCTCTCACCTCCCTGTGATCTCACTGTATTTCAAATCCCATCTATTGCCTCGCCACCGTCTTTTCAGACCCCCTAAAACCTCTTGTCCCCTAAAACTCCTTGGGCAGCACAAACAAACAAAAACAAAAAAACCCAAAGGCATTCGGCGTCTAAATGAAAGTGACCCCGGTGCAGGCGTCCGGTCCCCTCACGTCCCCGGATTGCCGGGCCAAGCGCAGCGAAGCTGAGGCGGCCAGCCTGGCTGGGCGCGGAGGAAGGTTCGGGGCTGGACTGACAGCTTGGGGGGAAGGAGGAGGAGAGAGCCGGCGGCGGAGGAGGGGAGAGCCGCGGAGAGGAGGGAGCAGGGGCGGGAGGAGACACATGCGCGCTGCCTGCCGCCGCCGCCGCCGCCGCCGCCGCAGTGCTTAGCTTCTCGGGGACAGGAAACCTTCGAGACCGAGCTGCCACTGCCGCCTCCCCGTCCGCCCCCCATTCCGCGCGCCTGCCACACCCTCCTCCCCTTCTTCCAGCATCTTTCTGTGGAGCACTGCAGGGACTGGGCCCGAGGTGCCGTCTCCCCCTCCCAGGGGAAAGCTGTGACCCCCCCCGCAGGAGCGGCGGGGCCGGGTGGGGGGGCCCGGGAGAAGATGGCGACGCCGGGAAGCGAACCCCAACCCTTCGTCCCTGCCCTCTCGGTGGCTACTCTGCACCCACATCATCCCCACCACCATCACCATCAGCACCACGGAGGAACCGGGGCCAGCGGTGGGGCCGGGGGAGGCGGCGGCGGCGGCGGCAGCGGGGGCTTCAACCTGCCCTTGAACCGGGGACTGGAGCGCGCGCTGGAGGAAGCGGCCAACTCTGGGGGGCTGAACCTCAGCGCCAGGAAATTGAAGGAATTTCCCAGGACCGCGGCCCCCGGGCATGACCTTTCGGACACGGTGCAGGCAGGTGAGAGAGGGCGAGGGGTAGGCAATGGGTGTGGGTGGCTGTCTGGCTGGCTGTCGTGCCTTCCCGACGCAGTGGCCAGTCTGAGATCTGGCCTCGCTGGGGGCCCATCGGCCGGTGCTCTCCCGACTAAGGGACCTGCCTTGATGCAGGAGAGGCGGACCCCGCAGAAGGCACAGTGGCCGCTGCCTCGCCCGGCGGCCGGTGGGGCAGCGCCGGGAGAGCTGGGGTGCGCCTGGCCGCTGCGCCCGCGAACGCGCGGGGCTCGGGCTCCCCGCCCCGAGGCGGCTGCGCCAGGGAAGTGGCTGCCGGGCTGGGACTTGCGGGCGCGCCGCGTGCCGCAGTGGAAGTGGGAGGATTCAGGCGGCCGTGTCGGCTTCCTGGGCCCCGCGCAGGGGCTGGGAACCCGAGCGCCGCGTCTGCGCCTCCGACCAGGGCTTGCACTCTTGGCGTCGAGGCGTCGCCCCGCTGACAGGGAAACCCAGACAAAGGTGGCGCGCCCTTGGCCGACCCTAGGGCATCGGCGCGTTGCCGCCAGGGCCCCATCGGCGACCCCACCGAGCGATCCGGCAATTTGGTGCCGACTGCAAGGAGGCGCCGGGGCTTCCTCTTCCTGCGCCTGTGAGAGGAAAGAGCCGCCGCGATTGTTGAGAATCCGAATGGGCAGCCACTTCGCAGGCACTCGGCTCCCTCGTTACTTGCCCTTAGCTAACCGCCCATACGGTTTGGTTCCTACCACCGAGGCTACCTAGTTCTCAGTAACCCGATCTCTGCGGGGGCCCTGGAAGGGTCGGCATGGTGTATTAGAAGAAGAGTAATTAAAGTGAGCCGGTTTTCCTGTGTGAGCCGGACAAGTTGTAACTCGCGCCAATGAGCAGCCAGCTTTTTCAAGTTATGTCATGTGTTGACATATTTCTGAGACGTCTGCTTTCTCTTTGGTAGTTGGAGTGACTGGGGCGAGATCTATAAACAGGAAGGAGGGTTGGTGGAAGGCGACTCGGGCCTCGGGATCCCTACAGAACTGACTTGGTTTCCCGACCATCCGGTTCAGTTTCCTGGGGGAGGGTTTCTATCTTGGCAAGCGCCCAACATTTCCCAAGGCAGTGGGTGCCCCATTTTGGAACCTCTGCCCTGGTCTCCTGGCTGTCATCACCTCATGGGCCTAGAGTCAGACCCCTTGGATCCTGAATGACTCGACTCTCACTTCCGGATCTCCCAGTTTCCCCTTGTGGGCTAAGGGGGGGGAGCCGGTGAGGGAGCCTTGGTTGGCTTTTGGTTTCCAGTGCTCCCCCCTCCTTTAATTCAGTAAACATTTATCAAGAGTCCTAATGAATATTCAGACAGAGTTCTGAGTTCACTGGGGGCAGAGAGGACTCTTCAGGGTCATTAAACTTTGTAATTTGGATTTAAGGAGAGTCAGGAATGGGCTAAAAGGAGGGAATTTCCAGAGTTGAGCTGTCAACAGCTGGAGAGTCTCTTTTTTAGGACCTCTTAGTTACATTTTCTCAAGTGGAAGTTATTCCAAGAATTGCCTGAATCATTAACTTAAAAAAAAAAAACCCTTAAGTTCTACTTCCCTTTGCGGTAGAGTGTCCCATGAACTCTGGGAGGGGTGGATATGACTGCAGAAGATGGAGCTGGCGTGACCAATAATAATATGTGTTTGCACGTTCAGCAGGGGGCCTTGAAAGTTGTTCCTCTGCTTCAATTCCGCCAGTGTTTATTTCCAAAGTTGGGTGAACTTGATGTGTCTGCTGTGTTGGCATTCTCTGAGAAGACTTGTGCTTTTAAAAGCAAGGACCGTATCTGTCAGTTAAGACATTGCCGTGTGAGGTAGATGCTAAAAAGTATTCCTGTTCTCCTCTCTTGCTTACCTGTGGTTAGCTTAGGTTGTGAGTTTTGCAAGTTTTAAATTAGGAACCTCACTTGCACGTGTTTAATGCTCAGAAAATTCTCTCTAGTTAAAACTCAGAGACGTAACGCTAACTCCCCATCAAAAAATGCAGTATTAATTATGGGGTGGAGGGAGTGTCACCAAAGTTTGCAGAAACTTAGGACAACTCAAAAAAGATAAAGAATATTCAGTGTAGCCAGTTATTTTACATGAAATTGGACAAATGTGTTAAGGATTTGCTTCTGCAAAACATCTTTGTTGCAGATCTAAAACTAAGTGTAAACCCAATGTATTCTGCTCCTCCTTAAGAAGTATTTACTGAGCACCGTTCCTTATTTGGAAAAGCAGAAATCAAAATAAAGCAGGAGTTAAAATCACCTCCAGTCTGCCCAGTGTTGACATGTCCTGCGTGTAAAGAGTTCTAGCAGAGGGGAGAGTATGAGTAATAACATGTACAATAAAGATAGTGATATCTCCTGTGTTAATATTTAGTTTACAGAATCTCTCTTAAAATCAGAATGGCCCATGAGATCCTTAAAGACCTAAGATGTAAAGTGCACTTTTTCATAAGTTTTGTAATACAGGGAGTGACAGAGAAAGCTTTTCCTCACTGTTCACTTGTATGATAGAGGCCATTTGGTCTATATCTTGTAAAAGTAACTCTTCTGGCAGCCACCTGAGCAGAACTGCCCTCTTGGGCAATGTAGCTTACCTGAATGGAGTTGGAAACCGAGATGTCAACACGGAAACATAGAGGCCCTGGGCCACTCAGTAGATGTCTAAGCTGTCGCTCAAATGCATACACATTTTTCATAGGGAAAAACTCTCAGGCCCACACTTTGAGGTGATTGATTTACTCATATTTGAGTCAGAATAGTTGTGTTGTCAGGGTGTAGTGTTTTTGCAGGTGAGAAGGGGAAAGAAAGGCTGATCCACCCAGGTATGGTGGCACAGGTGATAGTGGCTGAAAGGAAGCGTGAACGAAAGAGCACGGTTAGTCCTTGGTGTGTGTGCTTTGCTCTGTGCCAGGTACGTCATCAGCACTGTCCTGCCCGCTCCTAAGAGAAGGCTATTCAGTTCTTCATTTACAGCTCAGCAGACTGCGACTGAGACAAGTGAGGTACCATGCTCAGGATCATACCCCCAGTGGGATAGTGAACCAGTGGATGGACTCTGATGGTTTCACTTTAGCGTTTATGTTCTTGACCATAGTCCTTCTAAGCAGGGAAGGGGTGGAGAGAAGCAGAATCTGGGAGGCTGTCTGGAGATTCATTCAACCAACATTCATTCCACGAGTACCTACCAAGCAGCACGAAGCGCCACGCTCTGTTCTAGGCACTGGGGATACAGCGGTGACCAGTGGAGAATCCCTGTATCCCTTCTTATGAGTTTTCATTCTAGTTGGAGGGGTATGGGGAGAAAAATGAAGAAATAGATTGTGCAGCATGAGTAGGAAGAGTTATAGTATAGATGGAATATCTTTCTTTTAGAAATATACATGGTGTCTTGTGTTAAAGGTGACTCGAGGTGGCTTGTAACAGCAAAAGCACTAACAATGACTAGTAATAAATATAAACTAAAGCATGACATTGGGCTGGGTAAAAAGAAGCACACAAATATGTGTATCAGGAAAGCAAATTTTTTTTCTAGTGCTGATTCATTAACCAATGTCACTTTGGGATGAAGGAGTTCAAAAGGGTATTTGTCTGACTGAAATAAAGGGAATCGAAAAGAGGAGTAAGAAAAGAAAGTGTCTGTCTCAGACTGATCACAGGAGGTTCTAGAAAATGAAAAGGAAGCCCTTGGACTTTGATGTGCAGAACAGTTGTTGAAGGTTGGACTCATTAAGGAGAGGGTGGAGTCTATCCTTGCCAGTATCTTTTTGAGGTGGCCGGAAGCAGGAAAGAATGTATGGGAAGAGCTTACCCAGGTAGGAATGTAGACGTGTGGCATCCAGAATACTCATTGAGGCTCTATGTGTGTGAGTGCGGAGCACTGGAGGAGGCGCAAAGGGTAAGACAAGACAGGAATGCATGCGAAGCTAAGTCACAGTTCCAGGAAGCCACGGAGCCTCAAGGCAGGTCAAGGTGAGATGCCAGGTAGCACAGATAGGCATCGATTTTGGAAGAAAAGGCCAAGCTATTTAGGAAAGACTTTCAGGTTTTGTAGGATGGATAGATTTGGGATAGAAGTGCCCATGACCATTTTGTGGTTGGAAAGATGGTTTGACGATGAGGAGCGATATCTGTAAATAAAACAATAAGAGGTTGTTTAAGCCTGTGCCTTTGGTCATATCGCCCCACCCACTCTCAGCGTGTACCTATGTAATGGAGTAACAGACCACAGGGCTCTTAGGGACCGTTTTTTTGAGGACTCCAGAGATGGCTGACGACTGGGATTTGTCAATCTGTGGGACTAACACCCTAATCTGTCTGAGCTGGCTCTCTCCAATATCTGTACAGATTCAGAGAATCTTCTCTGAGATTTGTGGGCAGGCTTATCTGCTGAAAGCTGGCTTTCCCCACCCAACTCCCATCCTATAGTGACTGAGTCCATAGGATGTTAGCTCTCTGTACTCCTTGGAATTCACACAGGACTTGATAAAGAAATCTGTTCGTTCTCAAGAACATGTTCTGTTCCACAATTTTGGCCATAAAGATTTTTCATTATGAATATAATGGAACTTTGGAAATCACGTGTTTTCTTAAAATGTATGTTCTTTTATAGTTATATCTAGTTTCAAATTATTTTTCTGCTGTTGAATTAAATTTGTTAGTTATTGCTGTAACTATGATTTATGGTGGTAGTCACTATCATATAAATGTCTATGTTCATTACATGTATTCTGAATACTTCTGCATTCATAAATCATTAGTCACCGCCTTCTACTTCCTATTATTATTTTTTTCTTCTGTTGATCAGTTTCTTTCTTGTTCATGTATTGGGGACTTCTAATAGTAAAAGCTTTTAAAAACAACTAAGACTCGATGTATATGGTGCTCTGAATCATGTCCAGATGTGTTTGTGTATAGCAGAAACAATCTCCACAAACATTCTGCTATTCTCATTGCCTGCATTGTAGGCTGCTCTTTATTGAAAAGGCAGGAAC